AAGAAATTCTGCCCAACATGAACATTCAGGGAAAGCAAGAAATGGATATAGAACTCCATGCTGAGTAAAAATTCTAGGCTTTGTGGGAAAAAAAATAGAAAAAATTTAAAGGGTTCAAATGCCAGTTAAAAACATGTTTATTCCACAAATAGCTAAGTGGGGTTTATAAAGAAGAAATAAGCATATTAGCACAGCATGGGATAGATATCTGACCTTGAATTTTGGTCTGTGTTTCTCTTTGTCTAATTGTTTCATGTTGACAGCCTCAACCCAATTTTGCTCTGGGGGTAATCGATGCTATGGCTACAAGGGAATGGTAGTACAGCACTTCTTATCCGTAAAGCTCTTTATTAAAAGTACTGTACATTCCGGCTTCTTTTTGCTGGTGTGAAGAACACAGAAGGCAGACTGACTTCAGGGGGTAGCAATTCATAGAACTCAGTGACAATAGAACAGAGTGCAAAGTGTCCAAAGACTCTTTGTGCAAGTTCTTTAATAGAATATATTTTCTTCTTTTCTCACAGCAGTAACTTACAGACCATTAAATTTCACACATTTCCTTTTCATTTTCCATGTTAAAATATGGCTTATGACCCAGAGTGGAACCATCACAGGATTCTGCCCTGAAAGTCAGCTTTTTTATGATTTGATAATATATGACTTTTGAAAGACCAGCAAGTCATGGGCCATGAACCTAGCCACATAAGTGATTTCAAATGGCTCCAAAGTGTGTACACTTACACAAATGGAAAAAATTAAGCCCTGAACACATTACAAAGGATAAAATTAAATTATCAAAGAATGCAACTGTTCCAAATAAGCACGACCTTTAACTAGACTTAACAACCAAAATGTAAAAAGGAAATAAAAGACCCCAGAGTTGTAAAATGCAAGTAAAAAAAAAGACCCCAAAATGAAAACAAAACAAAACAAAAAACCCCACAACTCTATCTCTACTTCAAACCAAAGAGAAAAGTAAGCAAGTACAAGGGTTTGAGAGAGGCAGGGAGTTTCACAAAACTTAATTTGCTAAGCTCCTCAATGAAGGTAGGTTTTAAGGAAGAGAAATATGTAGTTCTCTGAAGTCAAGGTTCATAAACTTTTCCTTGGTGGCATATTCCATCAATCAGTCAAAAAGAAGCTGATGTACTCTACATGTAGTATTTAGAGTTATACCACTGAAATTGAGACACTAAGCTAGATGATTTCATTTTAAGCCATCTTGGCCTACCTACAAATTATTAATCTTTGTGGCTAATGTTCAATTCAGATACCTATGTAATCTTGCCATAATCTCTTGATATACACAGAAATATAGGAAGAGGGACACCTAACTAAGTGTCTGATGTGGGCTCAGGTCATGATCTCCTGATTTGCGAGTTTGAGCCCCGCGTCGGGCTCTGTGCTGACAGCTTAGAGCCTGGAGCCTGCTTCAGATTCTGTGTCTTCCTCTCCCTCCCTCGCTCACACTCTATTTCTCTCTCTCAAAAATAAATAAGCATTAAAAAAACAAAACAAAACAAAAAAAACAAGAAACATAGGAAGAAAACACATTTTCTCAAGTTTTAAAACCATGAACAGGTGCCTGCGTGGCTCACTTGTTAAGCATCTGACTTAAGCTTAGGTCATGATCTCACAGTTCATGAGTTCGAGTCCCACATCGAGTGAGTTCTAGCCCCACTTAGGGTGAGCCCCACTTCTCTCCTTCTCTCTCCCTCTCTCTCTGCCCTCACTCACGTGTGTCCTCTCTCTAAAACAAACAAACAAATAAAACCACTAACAGTAGCCTTCATTTCCAAAAGAGACTATAATCTTTTCTCAGGTGTCCTCCCTACATATATTGAGAAGATCTACTATGAAGGACCCAAGAATTCCATTAAGGCTTTTATATAATCATACTGCTATGTGGGAAAATAGCTTCCTCCAACACCTTATTATTTTACAAGATCAGATGGAGAATCTCCATTCCATAAATGGAAAAGCTATAATTAATAATATATCTAGGGGAGCCTGGTGGCTTAGTCGGTTAAGCGTCTGACTTTCGCTTAGGTCATTATCTCACGGTTCGTGGGTTCGAGCCCCGCATCGGGCTCTGTGCTGACTGCCAGCTCAGAGCCTGGAGCCTGTTTCATAGTTTGTGACTCCCTCTCTCTCTGACCTTTCCCTGCTCACGCTGTCTCTCTCTCTCTCTCTCCTAGAAATAAATAAAACATTAAAAAAAATAATATATCTAATAAATTATATCTTATGCTTTATATTAATACAATTACATAATCTAGTATATTAAATATATAGTACAAAAAATTATAGCACATATTATAATAATTAGCTAGTAACATAATTAATATAATATAGCTAAGCTAATAGATACGGAAGGTTTTAAGAACTCAATAGCAGTCTTTTCTTCTCAGAGGACAAAAGGGTCAGAAGACCATCTTGGGGGTCGGTTCAGAGAGTCTCAGGTAAACACACAGCATTTACCTGAAGCTGCCCTGTTGATTCAGAGTTATTAACCTCTTCTTACGGAAGTTCTATCAGTCTGAGACATTTCCAAACTGTCCACAGTCATGTTACACAGACTGGCCAATCATTAGCTAAGGGTTCAAAATATGATTTGATATTGCCCCTTTTTTTTTTAATGTTTTATTTATTTGTAGGAGAGAGAGAGAGACAGCGTGAGCAGGGGTGGGTCAGAGAGAGAGGGAGACACAGACTCCGAAATAGGCTCCAGGCTCTGAGCTGGCAGTCAGCACAGAGCCCGATGCGGGGCTCGAACCCACGAACCGTGAGATCATGACCTAAGCGAAAGTCGGACGCTTAACCAACTAAGCCACCCAGGCGCCCCTGATATTGCCCTTTTTAAGAACTATAATGCTCAGGGGCACCTAGGTGGCTCAGTCAGTTGAGCACCCAGCTATTGATTTCGGCTCAGGTCAACACTCATGGGCTCAAGTCCTGCATCTGGCTCCATGCTCAGCATGTGCTAAGGGAGATTCTCTTTCTCCCTCTGTCCTTCTCCCCCTGCTCATGCTCTCATTCATTGTCTCTCTCTAAAAAATAAGTAAAAATAAAACTGTAAAGTTCAGAAAATGTCCTCATTTAGGCCTACAGTCCACATCATCCTTAATTAACTTGGTAGAGTCCATTTTGAATATTCACTACCAATGATTTCACACAAGATGAAAACAGGTCCTGAACAAATCATAGAGGTGGTAAAAAGCTCTCTGAGGAAGAAAGAATGAGGCCAACTGGACATCACTGTACATGAGCCAAGAAGCCATGTGCTTCAATTCTCATTCAGGCATCTCTGCAGGCAGCCTGAATGACATATATCAAAACGTAGGAATTTAACATTACTCAGTATCAGAAAGACAGGAGCTATTTATAAACATAACCAAAAAGCACAGTAATCTATCAAAGTCTATTCCCAGAAAAAAACAACTCATTTAAGAAATAGCTGGTACTCTCGCTTGTTATAAGCACAGGCTATGATATAAAAACCTCTCTCTAAACTAAATTGATGCATTTAAAACTTTCAAGTCTTCCATGGGAATTTACACAGGATGCTCATTCTTGGATATCTCCCCAGAACATTTCCTCCACGAATGTAAAAGGCACTTAACTTCTACCCAGTGCTGCCTAACCTGAGCTTGTGTCTTCTGCAAATTAAATCTCATGATGTCTGGGTAAGAAAACTATGAGGATTATTAGTAACTACTGAGAGCATTCCTAGATAGGGAGAGGGGGGAAGAGTTTCCTATTTTTTTTTTCAAGTGTCAATTTATTGTTGTGTCTTTGGGCAACTTTCTGATTATTTTAACATCATCTGTGTCTAGTTAACTCTAAAATAGTACTGAGAAAGCCAACTTCCCTTCAGACTACTTAACTCCGCAGTCTTAAAGCTATAAATCCCGATGGAAAATGCAGGTACCAAAGGAGCCAGGTGAGAGACAAGGGCGAAAACTCACTGAGGAAGAAGATGCATCAAAATGCATCACAGATCCACTTGGAAAATCAGACCACAAGAAGTCTAGTCCGAAGGAAAACTTTTTGTGATCAATTTTAGTGGTCCTTTACTTGACTAAAAGGAAGGAGCATAACAAGTTGGGAATAAAAAGAATCCAAATAAATTAATTTCACATCTTAAACACATTTATACTGCCTCTACCAACTGAATTGTTTCCTGTAGGAACACAAATTTTCCAGAGAGAGATGAACTTTTCCTTCACCTCGTTTGAAAAGAAGCATAAGCACACATAATAATACACAGAATAATAAAAATACCACATATATGGTTAGGAAACCCTTCCCTTCGGAGGAAATTAATTCTTGAAAGGCTATCCAATGAGAAAAAATTAGACTGCTTTACCAAGAATAAGGTTAGTTTCAAAAGGGGGAAGGGAGTCTTATTAATGTCTAACACTAGACATTACTGTTAATTACACTCCAAGGTCTGTGCAGATAGGAAGAATCATTGTTTACCCCCATATCCCACCATGGTCATTATTACCACAGATAGCAAGGACCCAGTATTTTTTAGTTTATTAAGGGGCTGAATGAAGATAGCATCAAATTGCTAAAAGTTAAAAAGAGACTAATGCCTACTACATAGGTACCTTTATCCTAAATTGATTAATCTGCATCCACTTTAAAAGATCAATATTAGAACTAAGGGATATTCATCTGGGACCAGGCTGCAAGAGTTAACAAAAGTGTAACAAATTACCAAATCTACCAATAGACAGCAATACCACAAAGAGCACCATGTGTAGATTTCAGTGTAAAGTGTGCTTTCGTGAAGGAAACATCTGCATCATTAAGTATATTATCAACTCCGTGTAAGGCCAAAAAAGAACCAAATGGGAAGATGAAGATAGCCTAAAAAAGGAATCAACCCATAATGTAAAAATGATAAGAGTCATCCACAAACTAAGAATAATCTACAATTTCAACAATAAAGCTTTACTTCCCGTTACTGCTCCATTATTTGCTTACTTTACCTGAGAGGAATCTGCTTGGGCTAATTTTGTAGTGACCTTCAGTATTTGGCGAAGATTCTGTCCTTGATCTTCAACAAGGAGGTAAGCCAGCAGAAGAAACACATGCACAGGGATTACTGTGGTTATAGGGAGCAAGGACTCTATGGAAAACAACCAGTCACTTGCAGCAGACTTTTCTCTCATTGCTTCGAGGATCCTCCAGGCTGTAAATATTGATCCATACATGCTGGTTATGGGGAACGCAAGCTTGTAGGAGAGCTGAAAAAAATAAACAGAAAAAAGGCATGACTACATGAGGGAAGTATATCTGTCAGAAATATATTCATTTATTTTCTTATAGTTCACTGTAAGAAATCAATCCTTCCAACAAAATACGAAATTTTTGATGCCTGCCAAAAACTTCTCACCATATATCTGAGCTAACAGGATTATGCAAAAAGAACACAGTTGTTAGATGGAACTCTAGAACAGATTTTTTCAACCTTTCCTCCCATTCACCATTCACTCCCAGGTAAGGCAGGGGGAAAAAAAGGATCAATACACAAGATCCAGAGGCAACCGAGTTTGAAGAGAACTCATTATCACTAAAAAAGTATTTACCAGTGAGAGGGAAGATGTAAAGGAAAAAAAAAAAGTCATTGTTATCTGCCCAGCTCCAGCTTCAGTGAGAGGCAACCCTGGGCAGGTGGCAGACTTCGACTGAGGACAGTTCATTTTTGTCACAGACAGTATGTTAATAGGAACAGATTGGTTCAGTTGGAACCTGAGAATATGAATAACTGAATAGCTCCTGACAGCTCTATACTGAAATGATACCCAAAGATGATGTTATTGATGAAGTCAATCTGAGAAATGGCTCCTCACAGAAAAGATGCAGTGCAGTCAGGGACAGAGAATAGACCGAACTCTGCCAGAGTGAGCAGTGTGCCCAAATGGCTAAGGAAAAGCATTACATATTGCCTGCTAATAAGATAATTCAATTCATTTAGGGGTGCCTGGGTGGCTCAGGCAGTTGAGCGTCTGACTACAGCTCAGGTCATGATGTCACGGCTTGTGAGTTCAAGCCCCGCATCAGGCTCTATGCTGACAACTCAGAGCCTGGAGGCTGCTTCACATTCGGTCTCCCTCCTCTGCTCATGCTCAGTCTGTCAGTCTCTCTCAAAGATAAAATAATAAAACCAGAAAAAAAATTTTTTTAAGTAATTCGTTTAGAATGTGATGCAACAAATTCAAAATCTCTAGAATCTAATGGTCTAGTTCTTAGAAACTAATTTATATGGATATAGGTAACAACTAAAAGAATGGGAAGTAAAAATTAAGCTTTATACAAGTTTTTTGACCTGGAAATGGTGTCACATGTTCTTCAGACTGAGCCAGCCAGGCACCTCTGAAATTTTTTTAAATAACAGCTTTCTTGGGGCGCTTGGGAGGCTCAGTCTGTTCAGTGTCCAACTCTTGGTTTCAGCAGAGGTCATGATCTCACGGTCATGGGATCAAGCCCCACATCGGGCTCTGCACTGGGCGTGGGGCCTGCTTAAGATTCTCTCTCTCCCTTTCCCTCTGCCCCTGCCCTTCTCACACTCTCTCTCAAAACATACAAATAAAGTTTAAAATTCAGTGAATTTTAGTAATTTATGGAGTAGTGGAACCATCACCACCACTAACTTTCATCACCCAAAAGGAAACCCCATACCCATTACGTCACTCCTCATTCCCCCAACGCCACCCTCACAGCCCCTGGCAACCACTAATTAATTTACTTTGTTTCCATTCTGGCTATTTCATATAATAAGAACCACACAATATGTATTTTCTGGTGGCTGGCTCCTTCCACACAGCATGTTTTCAAGGTTCCTCCAGGGTGTAGCTGTATCAATGCTCCATTTCTTTTCACTGTCAAATAAGATTCCATTGTATGGATATACCACATTTTTATCCATTCGTCAATTAATGGACATTGGGCAGTTTCCACTTTTTGGCTATTATGTGCAGTGCTGCTGTGACAGTCCTATAAAAATTTTGTGAGACTCAGGTGTTCAATTATCTCAGGTATATGCTTTAGAGCAGAGACAACATTTAAAAGTAAATCCCACTGTAAAAACAAATTGAGAAGCTATCTTTATTGCTATGAAAAGATCTCTGATATGAATACACAAGATACAGATAATGTCCCTGGAATGCTCTCAATTATTTAAAAAAATTTTTTTTTTATGTTTTATTTATTTCTAGGAGAGAGAGAGAGAGAGAGAGAGAGAGCGTGAGCAGGGGAGGGTCAGAGAGAGAGGGAGTCACAGACTGAAACAGGCTTCAGGCTCCAAGCCGGCAGTCAGCACAGAGCCCGACGCGGGGCTTGAACCCACGAACCGTGAGATCATGACTTAAGCGAAAGTCGGATGCTTAACCGACTAAGCCACCCAGGCGCCCCTCTCAATTATTTTTTTAAAGGGGGGAGGACTATATATCTGTATTTGCTTGTTTATGCAAATAAAAGTATGAGGCCAATACAAAAGAAATGAATACCTACTAATCATTATCTATTTGAGAGGATGGAAACTGAACAACCCAAATTAAGGGTAAGAAGCAAACTTTTCACTGTATACCCCTTTGTAATTCTGGAACCACTTTAATGTGTTAAATTTTAAAGATTACATTTTTAAAATTTAATATCTACATTTATTACAGCTCTCTGTCAAAATACATCCCCCAACCAAAGATGAAATTCATAGAAGACTAGAGTTAAAGTCTTTAGATAAATGACAAACAGCATCGGACCTGAGACTTAAAAGTCCAGGACATGGGGCGCCTGAGTGGTTCAGTTGGTTGACATGTGACTTTGGCTCAGGTCATGATCTTGCAGTTTATGAGTTTGAGCCCTATATTGAGCTTTCTGCTGACAGCTCAACCTGGAGCCTGCTTCTGATTCTGTGTCTCCCTCTCTCTCGGCCCCTCCCCAATGCGCACTTGGTCTCTCACTCTCCTTCAAAAATAAACATTCCAGAAGAGACCCCGAATAGCCATCGCAATCTTGAAAAAGAAAACAAAAGCAGGAGGCATCACAATCCCAGACTTCAAGCTGTATTACAAAGCTGTAATCATCAAGACAGTATGGTACAAGCACAAAAACAGACACTCAGATCAATGGAACAGAATAGAGAACCCGAAATGGACCCACAAACGTATGGCCAACTAATCTTTGACAGAGCAGAAAAGAATATTCAATGGAATAAAGGCAGTCTTTTCAGCAAGTGGTGCTGGGAAAACTGGACAGCGACATGTAGAAAAATGAACCTGGACCACTTTCTTACACTATACACAAAAATAAACTCAAAATAGATGAAAGACCTAAATGTAAGACAGGAAACCATCAAAATCCTAGAGGAGAAAGCAGGCAAAAATCTCTAACCTCGGCCATAGCAACTTCTTACTCAATATGTCTCTGGAGGCAAGGGCAACAAAAGCAAAAATGAACTACTGGGACCTCATCAAAATGAAAAGCTTCTGCACAGTGAAGGAAACAATCAGCAAAACTAAAAGGCAACTGACAGAATGGAAGAAGATATTTGCAAAGACATATCAGATAAAGGGTTAGTATCCAAAATCTGTAAAGGACTTACCAAACTTAACACCCAAGAAACAAATAATCCAGTGAGGAAATGGGTGAAGGCCATGAATAGACACTTCTCCAAAGAAAACATCCAGATGGCCAACCAACACATGAAAAAATGCTCAACATCACTCATCACCAGGGAAATACACATCAAAACCACAATGAGATACTACCTCACACATTCTGTTAATGTCAGAACGGCTAACATTAACAACTCAGACAAAAACAGATGTTGGCGGGCATAAAGAGAAAGAGGATCTCTCTTGCACTGCTGGTACGAATGCCAATGGGTGCAGCCACTCTAGAAAACAGTATAACGGTTCCTCAAAAAATTAAAAATAGAACTACCCTACGACCCAGCAATTGCACTACTAGGTATTTATCCAAGGGATGCAGGTATGCTGTTTCGAAGGGGCACATGCACCCCAATGTTTATAGCAGCACTATCAACAATAGCCAAAGTATGGAAAGAGCTCAAATGTCCATCAATGGATGAATGGATAAAGATGTGGTATATATATACAATGGAGTATTACTTGGCAATCAGAAAGAATGAACTCTTGCTATTTGCAACTAATGTGGATGAAACTAGAGGGTATTCTGCTAAGCAAAATTAGTCAGAGAAAGACAGATATCATATGACTTCACTCATGTGAGGACTTTAAGACATGGAACAGATGAACATAAGGGAAGGGAAGCAAAAATAATATAAAAACAGGGAGAAAGACAAAACATAAGAGATTCTAAAATATGGAGAACAAACAGAGGGTTACTGGAGGGGTTGTGGGAGGGGGGATGGCCTAAATGGGTAAGGGGCATTAAGGAATCTACTCCTGAAATCACTGTTGCACTGTATGCTAACTAACTTGGATGTAAATTAATTAATTAATTAAAAAAAAAAGAAACAAATATTTTAAAAATTTGTAAAGGCCAGGACTTTAGCCCAGCCATCCCAGCTACTGGCTCCTCCACAATCTCCAAGCCTTAACTGGCTCATTTGTAAAATGGACCTAATGACTACCTTCCTGCCAAGATTACTAAGGGAGACGTCGACACAATCAAGCACCTAGCGCAGTATTTCAAGTTGCAAAATACAGGGAAATATCATCACTGTCATCTTTAGGAGAGAAAAACAAAGCTGGTGGAGAGAAGTATTAAAGAAAATAACTGGAAATCACCATTAACCATAAACTGAGTCAAAAGCCGCAAGCAACATTACACAGACATGTTAAGAGTAAACATACGGACACAGAAAAGCAATCCTGTTTGACTTGAAGTATTAGGTTGATGTTCAGGCTCTGTGTCTTGTCTGTTTGTTTGCCTAAGGTTAGAACAGTGGGAGAAAAGCACAATGTTGAATGAGACATCACAGAACAGTCTCTCTGTCCCAGTGAGTGACGGCTGCCCCTGGCACAGTCCCAGGGCGAGGATGCAACTCCGGGTTTTCTCTAAGTACCAGCCACCAAATCCTGGCCCCACAGCTAGGAGAAGGGCCTGTGAAAGTGCTGGCAGGCACTTGGTTTTAGAGGAGAAAGCAGGTGTTTAAAAATAAAAGAGGTTTATGTTCAGTGAATGACATCTCAGTAAAAAATGAAAAAGAAACCATAAAAAAAACATCTGAATGAATATTAAATGGTTGTAAAGCATCTTT